TAGTTGTTAATCAACACAGACACGCACATGGACACACACACATCGTCCGCATCACTTACTGCCCTCGTCCTTTGCAGTTCGTCTTCTAACGCAGCAGCGGCAACACGTAACCAAAACGACGACTAAAAGGACCGTCTTGCAAATGGCGAGAATGAACCACGCTTGCTTCACCCTGAACTCATACTCTTCTTTACAGGACTCGCACAACAAGCAGAGGTGAGTTGCGTTAAAAAACTCGCATTCGTAGGGGCGCCCCGACATGGCGCGATGCAAATAGTGTTGGAATTTGGCTTCCTCGCTGACTTCGGCGGATGGTTCGTCGTCGTCGTCTCCACAGCCAAGAGGTTCGGCACAGCATTGCTCGTACAGAGACGACATCCTTACTTCCTGCCATCCTCTGTAGTGCGGCAGCCCCGTGCTGCTTTTTGCTGCTGCACTGCCCGGGGAAACCAGCTTTCGTCGTGCCGCCAGTCCTCGACCGGGCAGCCCCGTGCTACTTTTCATTGCTGTCTTGCCCGGAGGCGGTGCTCCAGCGCTGCTTGCCGCCGCTGTGTCGTCGACGCCCAGAGACATCTTCCGTCTGCATATGTTGCGCTCTTCCGCCAGGCATCTCGCTACTAGAGGCCAATGGTCGACATGGTCGGTCCACCACACCTCGCGTTGCAGGTTCGATCCCTTTGCACTCCCTGCCCAGAGGGAGACCGTCAGGGCAACGAGCACAAGATAGCCCAGCGCGAATAAAAGGCGGAGCAGCCATAGAAAACAGCAGCCAAATATTTGGCATCCGTCACAAGTGCAATATCTCGCGACAGCGATCAACAACCATAGGATTAAAACTAAAGCAACGGAAACCAAAAACATAGCGGCCACAAAGCCTGACTCGTCACATTTCGTGTCTCCGAAGAAAACGAGCGCTGCTTCTCCCGCACAGAAACCGACCCCCAAAGTGAACAGTGCAGTGATCGCCAAACAAACAGCCCTCCTTTCCTTCGTCCCGGTTSTCTKCCTCTTGACGAATATAATAATCACTATTATCGTCCTCCTGATCCATATCATCCTACTTGTTATCGTCTTCGTGAACGATACCCTCTTCGTGAACGATACCCGCCTCTGGCCCTCCATGGCCGCAACAGAAAAGCACAAGGATGTTGCTACTTATGAATATATAAATCTATATATATCTATATATATATTTATATAGGGTTCAGCCTCC